AATGGTATGACCTGTGGAGGTGGCAGATCTGTGGACCATACCATTTTCCTCCAGAATTCCCCTTTTCTCTTCAGAAAATGAGTGTGCTACTTTGGGCATGCCCATGGCTGTGGCTGTGTTTGGTGGATACAGGCCCAGCATTGTTTGCTCCCCTGGGCGTTCTGCTGTTGGCAGGAGCAGGGCAAGCCAGTTCCTGAGTGGTGCTGGGAGGAAGCGGGTGACCTACAAGACCAGAGGTTTAGGTTTCTACAACGCAGCTTGGATGGGGATGTGAGGAGACATTTCATGCCTGTGTGGAGAGGTATGGGGACATACCATGGGCAGAGTTGGGGCGTCCACAGTCGGGGCAGAAGAGGGGACATGTGACCTATTGTCAACCCTCCACCCTAAGGCCGTGTCATCCTATTTTCACAGCTGCAGGGAAAGGAACAGGGGATGGTCCTGCTTCAAGTCTTCACCTGCTCAGAAGGTTCTGCTCTTGCTAGGTTCAAGCTGCCACACCCCCCATGTTCCCTCCGTGTGTACAGGCCCACTCAGAGCTCTCCGTGGGCTGGCTTCCAGACCATCCCGGCACAGAGAATCCTGAACTAAATCAAGTCACACACAGTACTGTTACCTTTCCAGTGGGGTGAAATGTGCCCCAGTTTTATGCCTCAGAACCATGTGCGCACCTTTATGAAAAAGCTGTTTCACTAAACGATGCTGCATCACCAGACGTCAGTGTCCAGCAGTTGCCATGTTGTTTGGCAAGACCAAAGCTCTTCCTGTGTCCACTCTTCCTATGCCTCTGCTCTCGCCCTCACCAATCCCCATCACTCTGTGTTGCCTCTATTTCTCCTCTCCTCTCCTCTCCTCTCCTCTCCTCTCCTCTCCTCTCCTCTCCTCTCCTCTCCTCTCCTCTCCTCTCCTCTCTCTGTCTATCTATCTATCTATCTATCTATCTATCTATCTATCTATCTATCTATCTATCTCCTGCCCTTCCTTTCTCTCCTGGGAATTCCTCTGGGTTCCCAGGCCTGACAATGCAAACTTCTTATCGAACTTTTTACCAAACAGTTGGGCTCTGAGGTTAGAACCCATGTCCTGACTGGGAAGATTCAGAGTTTTCTTGAAACGTTTGTGGACACGAGTCCTAGCAAGGCTGTGTCCTCGTTGGCCTATGAGCATGCCACAAAGATTGAGGGAGCTGCCTTTTTCCCACATGCCATTGGGTCTCTACCTCTGCCTATGGACCTGGTAGTTGCTACGTGGCCCTGATGACTGGCAACTGCTTTATCTCTGGTTCTGGCAGCAGACCTGGCCACAGCCTGGCACCAGCTGTATGGCTGCTTTTGTAGTGTGCAGCACTTGTCTCAGGGAGCCTGGAATAACGCTTCTGTCTCTGCATTTCTTGATTCTCTCTGGAAACCATCAGATCTTTACTTGCTGGAAAAAAACTAAAACAACCAAAACCAAAAATTAGAGAGCTTTAAGTTTCTGATTCAGTTTGTGTGGAAAATAAGGCAAGCAAGCAAAAATCCAAAACCAAATTTGCTGATGTCTGCTCACATGATATTATTACCAACCACTCTCAGTTTCTAGACTACCAGGGTGAAATTTTGGCTACTTGTTCTTGGCTTCAAAAGCAGAGATTTAAGAGGTGAAATTTTGGTTATTTGTTCCTCAGGGTGTGCTCCATAGCAGGATTTGAGAATCAGCACAGGCTCACCTGAAGTGCTCAAGTTCCAAAAGTTTTCAACCACTTCTTTTAGCCTTTGGTGACAGCTTGAAGGCACATAATCAGTCTTACACTCAAGTACCTGAATCAATATTTTGTTTTATTCATCTCACTGTTTCTGAAAATGATTCTAACAAAATTATTCCCTCAGATTCTCTTTCATTTATAACCTTACTAAATTTCTCTGTTGGATGAGATCTGTTTGCACAGGTAAACATTTAAGACAAAATATTTAATTCCAAGCAGCTTATTCCTCCAGGTCTGATGTGCAGGAAGCATAGTTAGAGCTATTGATTCCAAGTGTGGCATCGGACAGTCCAAGATGGAGAAGTCTGACTCTCGTTTATAGGCAGTGTGATCTTGGGCAAGTTATTTCACCTCTTGAAACTTCAGTTTTATCATGGATGAAAGTTAGGACTGGAGCCGGAGTATAGTACAGTGGGTAGGGCGTTTGCCTTGAATGCAGCCGACCCAGGTTCAATCCCCAACATTCCCTATGGTCTCCCCTGAGCACTGCACTGTAGAACTGTCATCCCGTTGTTCATCGATTAGCTTGAGCGGGCACCAGTAACGTCTCTATTCGTCCCAGCCCTGAGATTTTTTTCAGCCTCTCCTTAATTGTCCTTCCCAAAGCTGTCGTATTGGAGGCTCTTTCAGGGTCAGGAGAATGAGGTCCATTATTGTTACTGTTTTTGGCATATTGAATACGCCATGGGAGCTTGTCAGGCTCTGCTATGCGGGCAAGATATCCTCAGTAGCTTGCCAGGCCCTCCGAGGGGGATGGAGGGAAATCCCCCTCGGAGATGCATAGCTCTCTTCTGGGAGCTTTGTTATATAGTCTCTGAGTCTTGGCTGTTGATGAGATTACATGGCGCCAGGGGAAGTTTGTGGGTGTGACTGCCAAGCTACTGGAAAATGGGGGGATCTGAGTGGAGGAGGTCCAGTGCCAATCCGAGCAGGTTTGGAGATCTCAGCCACAGCTCCCGCACACCTGGGTTCCTCTACCAGTTCCTTCAAGCGTGAGGCTCATCTGAACATGTGGAGATTCGCTTTGAGCATGGCTGTGGCTGGGGTCTGGAGGTTTTCGGCTGCCAGGGTTCTGCTTGGGGCGGGGAGGGAAACTCGACTATCCCTCTCCGAGGGGTCCTAGTGAAGACAGCCTGACACAGGGGCAGGGGGTTTTATCCGAGCATTACCAGGAATAATTCCTGAGTGCAAAGCCAGGAGTAACACCCAGGTAATACCAGATGTGGCCCTCCAAACAAAACAGAGCCAAAAAGTAAGGGCTATAATGGAATCTGTTGTGTGTGGTTACTCGGAGATGAAAGGCGGCAAAGCTTGCATATACCCCTAGAAATAGCTGAGTTCATTTAAGCTACTGGAAGTTCCTAGGTCCCTGTGTTGTACATTTCAGACATTGAGTTTGTCACTGTTGTTCAGATGCAGACAGAGGACAAGTTATATCAGACTCAACCTAGAGTTTTTTCAATGCAGATACCCATTTTAACCTTAGAGAATCTTGCAGCCTTGCAGGTGGGCAGAGCTGAAAGCACCCTAGCACACAGGATTGTGTCAAGGCTGTTCCTCACTGGTTCTGCATGATCCTCAGTGGATAAAAAACCAAGTGAGAAGAAGTGAGAAGCATCCATCTGCTTCCTACTATGCTGTGCTGCGTGACCTGCCGGTTTAAATTTCTGTAATAATCTTAAAGAGCCATTTAAGGCAGAGTTGTTCGCTGTGAGGCAGGAGTTGTTCACTGTGAAACTTTATGAGCCTTCACTTCACACATATTTATTAAATTTTCCTCCATACAAGATATAGTCAGAATTTGAAGGGCAATTGAAGAAGGACATTAACAGGCTGTAAGAAAAGATCTCTATGAGAGCTGCATTGGTCTACAACAGATGGTGGAAATAAGTAATTGAAGATGGGAGTGGCATGCTGGGAAAGGATATTTTGGTGCCAACTAATGGACATTTGGAATTCCCTGGGCTTTGTCCCTTGGGGACAGCTGCTATGCATGGGTGTGTGTGCAGGAGTTTTGGTCTGTGAGAACAAATTTGTTGGCAGCAGCCCAGTTTCAGTGTCGTTTTAAACTATTCAGAATTTCGTTTTATTGGCGTCTCAGAAAGGTGGCCATTGTCTAATCTCCCTGGAACAACTATCTCAGGAGACAGGTTCCAACATGTCCTGTTTGCCTGAGCCTTCGAGAGTTCCCAGGGATGGGACAATCAGACAGTTCATTGCCAGGCACATACTGTGTCCTGAGAAAAGAGGACCACCAAAAAGCTCTTATAGAATCTAGCACACAAAATGACTCTGAAAGTGGTAGTTGAGGTCACTCTCACTGTTACCCCTAATGTTGCCTTTGCACAGAAACTTTCAATATGGAAAAAGTCCCAGACTTCACATAAGGGAGTTGTCTTCTGCCTTGTTGCCTATGCAGACAACATTTAGCAGTAGACTCAAGCATGGTGGCTTAAGTAATTGTTCTTTACCTTGAAATATAGTTGGTCTGTTCAAATAGATTAGAGGAAGTAAACTCTGAGATTTTATTGTAAACCACTTTGTCAATCTATAAGTCCATCAGTAAACAGGAGTGACGCATAGTTTAGAATCTAAAGAAAAGGGACTGGAGGGATAGTATAATGGTCAGAATGCTTGCCTTGCATGCAGCCTACCCTGGTTCAATCCTCAGTATATCATATGGCTCCCAAGCACTGCCGGGAGTGATCCCTGAGCACAGAGGTAGGAGTAAATTCTAAGCACTTCCCCAAAACTAAACCAAAGCAAAACAAATCTAAAGCAGAAATGTAGACATTTTATAGGTGACAGCAAATTCTAAACTTTTTGGTGTCTCAACTGTACAACAATTCTTAAGAGAAAAATATTTTCCCAGAAAAGAAAAGTGTTTGCCAAAAAATACTTTGAAGATGAAAATAATCATCTGCAAGTTAATATTGCTGTCAGTAAGATGTTATTTTAGTCATATTAACATTTCATTGACTAATTTTAGCTACAAAAATTAATGATTGATAAATGTCTTCTTAGTGTTTCTCCAAGTAGTGCCTCTCATTTAGAGGTGATTTCAACTTCCCTTTTCAGCTACCATGGTAGTGTTTGTCCTCCATCCTCCCGGGAAACAAAGCATCTCCCCATTTAAAAATAATCCAAAATAGCACAGGTTAAGGCACCTACCTCGCACACGCTGACTAGGTTTGATCCCAGAACTTTTACTATTATTAGAAAAACTGAAAAAACACAAACCAACATTTAGTAAAACAAAATGATTTATTAGTAAAAAAAAAAACAGAGAGAGAATTTGTTCATGACATAAAAAAGTGAAACAATTGGACGATCCCTATAAGAATTTTCACTGGGAACATAGAAAGTAGAAGTGACTTGAGGACTGGGCCTGAGGGCTTCGGGTGGATGCCTAAGCTAGTGTCAGAATGTGGAGAATGGTGACAGGTGATGATGGTCCTTGTGACATTTGGTTACCAGGCTGCCGATTCCAGGTTGTCACTGGGTAGAAACATGCCATATTCCAAGCAAATGTTGTTTCTATTAACTGTAGCACATGTCACAGTTTGTGTCCCTCTTATAGAAATCATTGGTGGAGGCCACCACTGAGGGATTGAAGCCCACAAAGTCTGTGCTGGGGTAGGAGAAATACTCGGCGGCTCGAAGGGTATCCAAGCGGTCGGCCTCACAGGAGGCGCAGTAGCAGCCAGAGGTGGTGCTGGGGAGGAAGCAGTCATCCTGGGCATGCGAGGGCAAGGCAGGGCACACGTAGTCTGAGGGATAGTCAGAGTGTCTAGTGTCCAGAGAAGGGAGACAGTTGTAATTCTCTGGCACGTATGGAGGTAGCTGAGCTGGTGAATAACTGTAGTCGAAGGAGCCAGAGAGAGTGGAGGAATCTGAAGGCGATCCTGGGTTCTAGACCAATGAAAACCAAGGGAAAAAGAGTTTGAGAATTTAGGATTAAAATCACTGAATAGACTGATGTGTTAATTAAGTCTAAGAACGTTTGGGGTAACAACAACAACAAAACCCTTAAAATAAAACAAAACAAAACCGTGCTTGTACAACAAAACCCACGACCCAGCCCAGGTCTGCAGAAGTAATTTATTTGCTGACTGTGTGATTTCACGACATCACACTTTCTGTTTACCCAGTTCTTTCCCAACAATAAATTGCTCTGCTTCACTGGCTTCCTTTGTTATACCCCTACTTTAGAGGATGCTTTGTTCTTAAACCACAAAATCCCATTGTGCTTCCAGTCACCTGCACAGTGATCCTGCTGCGTGCCACAACGGAAGCTGCAGGTGGCACCTTAGATGGTGCCCCACAGTTCTGGCCAGAGAACAAGATGGACATGCACAGATCTGGCTGGACCCAGCACCCAGGAGACTCCAAGACCTGCAACTGCTCTTCCCATCATTAAAGTTTGATCTGCTGAGGGGTTGGTGCCTCTCTCTGCCTTCTCCTGGGCAGATCTGAATTTGGTACCAAGAGGCCTAGCTGGGAGGCAGGACAAGTCTGGATGGATGCTCAGGGCCCTTCACACAGAGCCTGTAGTAGAATTAACTTCCTGCTCCCTTAAAAGGAACTCTGATCCCTACACAAACTTCTGATGAAATTAAAAAAAAATGTTTGTGTTTCATTTTTTTTTTAAAAAAACACATGCTTCCTGAGGTTTACAAAAATGATAGAAACATCTCAAAGACTGCTAGGACCACTGGTATCTACTGCTGGATGCCTTACTCCATTACAAATGATAGCATATTTCCAAATATTGAGGTCCATCACGAACTGCTCACCTACATTCTTTCAAGTATTAGGACATAATGTGTTGCTAATCCTCTGTGACCCAATGAGTTGTCATGCTGATAGACTCAAATAAGCAGTAGTGAAGAACCCATTCACTGACAAAATAAATCCCCAAACCTCTTATCACAGTAATGATCTGCCTTCCTTTTTCAAGAACTCGAAAACCCAAGGACCATTATTGCCATCTAGTAATTGCCAGTTAGATTTTTTTAATTAAAAAAGTGATTTATTTATTTATTATTTTGTCTTGCTACCACACCTGGCAGTGCTCAGGGCTTACTCCTGGCTGTACGCTCAGGAGTCACTCCTGGCGGTGCTCAGGGGACCATATGGGATGCTGGAGACCAAACCTGGGTCATCTGCATGCAAGGTCAGCACCCTACCTGTTGTCCTATCACTCCAGCCCTTCAGTTAGTAGATTCTTAACATTTAAAATACATCCAGCAATTATTGCCAGGGAACTGATTTCTATTTCCATACACCAACTTCCATGGGCATGGCTGACGGGGAAATCTTAATTATGTGTGTCTCCAAAGGCTTGTGTCTAGCACTGTGTAGCTAATTCTAGCTCCACTGAGCCTGTGCCAACTCTGCTTATTCCCTTGGATAACTCCTTACTGGTGGTATCTGTTGGATTCTTATGAGATGAAGTTTTAAACATTTCTCCCCCATAGAAAGCAATCACCAGGACTTGTAAAGAACTGAGATAAATTACCAGGCTCTGGTTAAAGCAGGACGTGGTGGACTGGAAGCTCTCCGGGAAATAGTGTGGAGCAGTTTGCATGGAATTGAGTGCAGGGTCCACATGGGGCTCTGGCGGGAGGTAGGACTCGAAGATTTGGTCGAGGTAGTTTGGGATTTCTTCATAAGAAACACAACTGGGAAATTCTCGGGGTGGAAAATAATCAGGTGTGGAAGAAGAAATTGGTTCAGGCTCTAAAATCAGCCCTAAAAGAGAAGAAAAAGAAACAGATTTTTGTTAAAAATTGGTGGGTTTGAATAGAATTCTTTTTTCTACCCTAAATAATTACTGTATTTAGGGGATACAAAGGGATGACTTGTTCCAGAAAAGTCAAATAAATGCAAGCAGGCAGTTTGGATTTTTTTCAGTTGCCTTAGCTCATTCAAGTCCCGGGGAAATAATTTGAAAATTAACAGTCAAAGTCACTAGGGAAAAATAAAAGAAGGTGGTCCCAACCGGTGGTCTCTTGTAACTGTTCAATAGTGGCTCAAGCCTCCGCTTTTCTGACTTTAAAGAATCAGTGCTTAGTTTCCTTGCCCAAAACCTTCCAAGAAGCTTACAGTTACTTGGGTTGTTGCTTCCCTAAACTTAGCACACTTACTCAGTAAAAATCCTGAGGGATGATGTCAATGGCATGGGTATTGATCAAAATGGAAACCAGAACAGACAGCACAGTTAGGGCGACTAGTTTTAAATTACAAAACAAACAAACAAACCAAAAAACACCCAAACCCAAAGAAAACTCCAAGCCAAAACCAACAAAATGAAGGCTAAGGAAACTGAGGTAAGTTGTTATGCAGCAGACAAAAATAATTTCAAAAGCTTGACTCCTTCTTCCAGTTCAGTGTGAGTTTGTGACTTTTATCCTTAAAGGCTCCAAGAAGATAGGTTTAGAGTATAGAAGACAGATCCCTCAGAGGGACCACAGAATACCGGAATCTTCAGTCTCAGGATGCCTTAAGCTCCAGCTGCACTCTGAGCAGTGAGCTAGCATAAGCTTCCTTCTGTATGACCTCCTGACAGCCTCAGCTGTTGACTGGCATAGGCAGGAGTGTTTATGTAATAGAGTTATTCGCAATGCGCCAGGGAAACCTATACTTGTTTGAATTGCTTTCTGGGAAGAGAGCAAAGAAGAGGAGGGAAGCCCCTGTTGGCTGGAGGCAGAAGCGGGGCAAAGGTGTTCTTCCAGAACCTCAAGCAGCTCTGGACTCTGAGATTCAGAGTGCATCAAACCAGGTGGGTTGGGGAAAACAAAACGTATCCTTTAGGCAAGTTTAATAACTTGGAGTTGAGGAACTGGACTAGAGGTGAAGCACACACTCTTGGGACAGAAGAGCCAGCAGAGAGTTGACAGCTAAGAAGTAGGACAGACATTTGCACGGCTCCCCAGCTGGGGCTGCCTCTGCGGCTCTGGTCTGTGCCTCTCTCCCCCTCCTGATTGGTTGGATTCCCATGCAATGGTGGTGCCTATCTTCACTCCCAAGCCAAGCACTGAGACTTCTGAGATGGCCTTTTTGAGGACTATGTGAGTAAACTGTAAAGTTGGCTCTACTGACCTGCAGAAACGGGTGGGGCCAGCTCAGAAGGGGGAACACCATTGCCTCCGGATACCTGTAAAACAAGAATATGACGACGGGAAACGGTGAGACTCGGGTTTGGCAGGGAAGCCTCCTTGCCTCTGCGCTCAGGTAAGCCCAAGTATTTCTTCCAGAATCATTAGAGACAACCAAGGTCCTATTCACTTAGATCCAACATCTCATGCTTGCTTGGGGGATCTTTTTATTATTTTATTATTTTAATAGCAGGTTCTCTTGCTTGAATTTGAAATGTTATTTATTTTCATACAAATTCATTGAAATGGTCTTTATCATGCAGACGTGTACTCATTAGAGAAAACTCAGTAAGCACCTTCTTGTAAAGTTATTCAATTTAAAGTGATTAAGAAGGACTAACATTTATTTGACCCCAATCCTCTGTGAGTTACCTGCTTAGTTTTCCTCAGAATTTTCAGCTATTATCTGGCTGCTTAGTCTTAGGAATTTATTTTCTCCAAAGTACTTCATTTCTAACATTGTTAGTCTTGATAGCAAACAATATTCGCATACATGTTCTAACCAACTCTGAAACATCAAAATAGAAAATGTCTTTTTGGAGCTGAGTCAGTGAGCTGGAACCTTTCCACATTCTAGTAAATCAACTGTTCTTTTCCTCAAACTATTTTCTATTAAGAAGTTGCTTTTTGGACTACTGGATGGAAACACCAGAAATTCGTGGTGAAATGGCCCCACTTAGCTGCTTAAAGCAGCCTGTATTTCCCATTGAATTGATAATAGTCTATTAAACAGTAATTTAGGCTTGTGTTGTGTTTTGTTTTTACCTTCCAGGTGGAGGCTTTAAAGTTTAAAGGGCCTCATCTGGCTCTGTGATTCTGTGCTGGGAAGCCCTGCTCACCACACCTCTCTCTTGGGTTACAGGGTATACTTACTCCCTTACCCGAGCCTCTGCAGACAGCAAGCCAGCCCTGCGGGAACAGGAGGTGGTGTTCATTTTGAAAATGATCCACACTGTAATGTCATGAACCAGGAAGCTGGAATCCTTCACCAGCTCTTTATGCAAATATTTGACTGCAGCTTGAACTAAAGGACTTGGAAGGAGTGGGTTTTAAAAACCCGGCCTCATTGTAGAGCTCCCATTCACCCCGTTTCTCCCCCAGCACGGTATGTTTGTCTGCCTCCCCAGTTATCTCCTGCAGGTATGTTGACAATATCCTACTTGATATTATCTTTCTAGTCATGGGTTCACTTTCAACTTTGCTCCAAGAATACAAAGAAAGACACCTCTCTCCTTGATTTCAAACAGTACAGAAACCCACAATCTGCAGTTTATAAAAATACATCAAGGCTGCTTTAAAAAAAGGAATGGTACAAATAAAAGGGTAACTGATAGCTTTTGATAATGCTAACTCAAGTTTCACTCATTCTAAAGGTGAAAGAACTCTGTGTGTGTGTGTGTGTGTGTGTGTGTGTGTGTGTGTGTGTGTAATGTTTGCAAACTGATCTGGCTGAAATCATTTTTTTAAAATCACATATATAAATCTGGCATGCCTACATTTCTACTGTCACTGTTTGTCCTTGGTTTGTCCCCAACAACACACACACACACAGACACACACACACAATTTTATATTTACAACAAATTTTGTCCCTCTTCAGATAGTGGGCAGGGCACTTGTGTTGCACATGGCTGACCAGGTTTCATCCCCAGCAGCCCCTGTGGGCCCCCAAGCCTGCCAGGAGTAATCCCTTAGTGCAGAGCCAGAAGTAAGCCCTGAACACCCCTGAGTGTGGCCCCCAAACAGACTAATAAACAAAAATTAACACTTTTCTTGGCATCAGGATTCCAGAAGCCATCCTTAAACATTAGGAGAAACTGCTGAAGCAGAAGAAGGGTTTTACCAAGGAGCAGGCAGACCTTATTCCCGAATATAAGCCATTCTTGCTTACTGAACTCACTCTCAAGCTTTCTTAGAATTTCAGAGCCTTCTGATAGGTAAGGAACTCTACCTCTGCCTTGTATAATTTAACTGTCTGCATGTCATTCCGAGTACCTGCAAGGGCCTGGGCATAGAGAATGTTCTAGGCTTTTCTCGGCATGTTAGTGCAAGGCACTTCCCCAGAGGGTCTGGTTTACTGTTGTTTCAGGGGGAATTCAGAAAACCATGATAATCAAACGGCTGCAGGGAAGAAATGCAAGGGACTTTTCCTCTCACTTTTGTTCCTGCGGTTAGGAACCGAAGCAAGAGAAGACACTGGTCAAATGAACTTGGGAGGGAACCACAGCAATAGAACTGACTTCAATTCTACAAAGCACCTGAATGACAGGTTGCATTCTGTTATGAACAGATCGATGATTTCAGGGGGGTTTTTTGCCACAAGAATTTCCTCCCAGGTTCTTGCTTCTGGTTTGATTAATTTTCAATGACCATCTCTGTACTGATGGGGTTGATGGCTTCTTCCCACCTCAGCTGATCTGTGGATGGGTGAATTTAGGGAGCTAAGCAGTGGGAAGGCTTTACAAAAATAATATAAAGAAGACAGATGCACTTGTAGCTGTATAATTTGTAACTGTAAGACTGTGAACTTCAGCTGTATAAAAGACATAAACCTCTCTGATCGGTTTACCTCCCTCCTCCCGTAGCTGTTATAAGAACTAAACGAAACATGTTTGTGAAAGCGCTTTAATTAGCCCCTGTACACCCCCACCCCTCACAAATGGCCATTTGATGATATTTGCTGAAACTCTGCAGTGGGAGGGCCTAGCTTTTCTCGCAGACAGCTCCCCTTGCCAGACCACAGCCAGATCGCACCTGAATTTGAAACTTGAGCAAAGGGTGTGAATGAACATTCCTGAATAGCTGGCTCTCGGTCCTTGTTTATAATTTTATTTTTGTAACTTTCTGCAAACAGTCCAGATGATAACAGAGTATCTATTGGGAATAGGAAGTATCTATTGTGAGGAAAGCTCTCTTGAGTGCTTTTAAATGCAGTAACTCAGTTAACCCTCAGGGGTGCTATCACTAACAGTTTTGAGAGGAAAAGCAGAGGTCAGGGAGCTGGACCCATCTGCCTGGACACCCACCACAAAGGAACTGGGGTCTGAATCTCACCCGCTATTTGCCTCTTCCCACACAATCCCATTTCTTGCAGTTCTGCATTGCACACTAACAACCCCAGTCCCAAAACTGTCAGAGAAATGCCATGAGGTGGAGATTGACCAGCACCAGCGCCTGGGCCCCAGCTGTGGGATCCTCTGCCTGACACCCACAGAAGCAATTGTATGTTCAAGGGCTTTCATGAAGAATCACCCGCCTTGAGGCCTAAACCCACCTCGGTTGCTTCTGCTGCTGCCCTGAGGATGCTCTGTGATATATATATAGACATATACAGAATATGGGGGTAGCCTCCGGGCTATTCAGATCTGCCTCATGACAACCTGACACAGCACTGTACACGGCTCGAGAAACTTCACAGGAAGTCGTTCTCCATGCCAAGTCATGTCCCTTGCAGAGCCGAGGCTCTTTCTCCCTTGGAGGCTGGCAGGGACATTTACAGATTAGTGACCTCAGAGGCTGGGCTCTGCAGGATGGGTGTCTGATGAAGAGAGCCGAGACATTTGCTTTGTGTCCTCGAGGGCACATCTCCCTCACAGAGCAACACCTTTCCATGAGCCTTTAGACCCAACTCTGATGAGGGAGGACTAGATACACCCCAACACACACACGCGCGCACACACACACACACACACACACACAGCACAGCCCAGAGCCCCACACAGCTGTTCTTTGTGGCTTCCTGGGGTGACCCAGGAGGAAGGGGCATGGAAAGTATAAGAACGAGGAAGATCGAGTCTGGGATCCACAAACCCCTCTGAGACTCCAGGTTGCAGGGGCCCTACCAGGAAGTGGTGGTCAGTGAGGGGGGGATGCTTACGGTTCCCCCCGAGGCTGCCTGGTGTGCCCTTCTCTGCTGCAGCAGCTCCTTCACCGTGATCTTCACCCGGACACCTTGATACACCTTTGGTTTTTCTGGGAAAAAGCAACCAAGTCAGTGATCAAATGTGGGGTTTAGGTATCTGGTTTTGGTTGTGAGGGTTTCCCTTGAAGCACCTGAATCCAGGTTTCTAGGCTTTGAGAATGCAAAGGGAAGGCTGATGGGCGTGAGAGTTCCTCATGCCCTATACTTGGAAGGATGAAGGTGGGGGCCTGTTTCAGGCGAGCATAATCTCTGGGGATCTGTGTGTGGGGGTGGGGTCCCACCCCCACCTGACTCCATCCCTAGGCTAATAGTGCACCTGGAATTTTCTGCTGAGAAATATGGAGACCAGTTTGGAGGGGGTGGTGATCGTACTGCGAGTGTGGGTTCACCACTTTTAAACTGGGGGGGTGGGTGTCCTGGGATCAGGCCCCATCTGCAGGTCTGGCAGAGGGAGCTCTCTTCTGCAGCAGCTGTTCTAAGTCGCCCCCCAGTCCCCACCCCCAGGTTCTTAGATTGTAGGGGCCCTGAGACTCGACTCTTTTCCACCTGGGCAGGTGCAGCTTCTGCCAGGTTCGACCTCTAAGTGTCCTTAGATTGCAAGGCAGCCTGGGCAAGCAGCTGGAGGTGGACCTGCCCTTGGGCATTTAGGAACCTGCTAGACGGACCCGGGAAAGGGGCCAGGCCTGGGGAACTGGGGCACCCGGGGAACTGGGGCACCCGGCTACAGAACCCCCCACCCCCACCCCCCAGCCCCGGGTCTTCCTATCTCTCCTTCCCCCTCTCTCCTGGTCCTTTCTCCGCCTTTCCCGCTCGCCACCTCTTCCTCCCCCCTTAGCCCCCGCTCCTGCGCTCCCCATGTCTCCTCTCTCCCCACCCCTCCCTCCCGGGCAGGCATTCCGGTCCGCGGGAGTCAGCGCGGCGCGGGCGCCGGGCTCGGCCTGGCGGGGCCGGCGGGGAGGACGGGACAGCCGGGCCGGACGGTGCCGTGGGCCGAGCGCAGGGCCCGGCGGCACCGGCTGGGGAGGGCGCCCCGGCGGGGGCCGCGGCCGCGAGCGGACTCGGCGGAGCCGCGGTGAGTAGCCGGGCCCGGCCGGGCGCGCTCTCGCCGTCGAGGTGGCCGCGGGAGCCCGGCCACTCCGGCTCTGACCTCGACCCCGAGCGAGCGAGCGAGCGCCGAGGGACGCGCGGGGAGGGGCCGGGCGTGGGCCGGGGCCGGGGCGGGCCGCCAGCGCCTCGCCTGGCCACTGTGCAGAGCGCAGCCGGACGGCAGGGAGCCCCCCCACCCCCGCGAGCCCGCGTCCCCGGGGCGAGGGGGTCCCAGGGGAGGGAAGAGGCGCTCGGGGTGGCCCAGGCTCCGGGCACCGTGTGCGTGGCTGCTCGCGGGGTCTGGGCGCCGCGCCGCCCCACCCCGCGCGGTCCTCGATCTCGTCTCCCCCGACTCCCTCCTCGCCTGCCTCTAAGTTCCGTGGGCTGCGGGCGCAGCTCGGGGTCCCCACCGGCACGGCCGCGGCCGCGGCTCAGCTCGGGGCGGCCGGCGCGGCCCGCGGGCTCCCGGGACTCTCCACGAGTCTCTAGCTCCCCCCCGCCGCCGCTTCGGGGCGCGCAACGCCCGCGCGCGGCGTCCAAGTTCAGGGTCACCAGTGGCAAAGTGGGAGAGCGGGTAGGGGGGTACCCGGGGACACACACAGCGGCGGCGGCCAACTCGGCCTCTGGACCTCTGCCCTGGGCTGCAGACGCCCAGTGGAAGCTGCCACGGCATGGCCCGTGCATTCTCTGGCTCAGAATTGGATGCCCTGACTTTGTGCCTCTCTGTTCTGTGCAGGAAAAACGGTGGCTCTACGCCCGGATTGAAGCGCCCCAGGCCCGCGTGACCCTCCCCCGGGAGAAGAGGCTGAGTTACCCGACATGGTGGTCAGCAGAGGCTGGGTCGCTGGCCAGATGCTGTGGCTGCAGACACTCGGTGCCCAGGAGGCTCCTGTGCAGAGGAGAGAGACAGAGAGGCAACATTTTTAAAGTTTCACAAAGCATCCAGCTGCATCCAGGTTCCTGGAGCAGGAGACAAACAGAATTCATGTTTTATACCTTCGGGTATAGGTTTGAGTTTTTTCCCCCTCATGCCAAGTATTTAAAACCTCTAGAAACCCATGATTTGACAATCAATGATTGCGCGATACTTTCAATTTGAATATTCAAAGGCTTAACAAAATGGACTATCTTCTGCAGAAATCCTGCACACAGGCACCCCACAGGGAGTCCAGAGAAACAGGGAGTGAGCCCCCTTTGGGTGCTGGCCCTTGATTTTGTTGTATTTTGAGCATTTTGCCCACCTTCCCACAAACAGGGCAGCAGCCCTCAAAGATGCTCCATGTTTCTGTCTGAGAGAGAGCTGCCAGGGCCCTGAGCAGCCTAGGCTGCCCTTCATGGGCCCTTGGGCCAGGCTCACCGGCCTGCCTGATGCCCATATCTCCAGTCTCCGTTTTAAGGGAAAAACTCAGGTTTTGAAGAATAAGCCTGGCAGCAGGTGAGCCTGGCGGTGACTGTGAGTTGTGCTGGGCCCAGATTGTAGGCTGGAGGCCATGCAAGGCCTCAGTGCTGGGCTCTGGCTCCTTCTGGCCCCGCCTGGCCCATGTTCGCCTCCTTCCCTCCCCTTTCAGCCTGCATTCTGTCTGCGCTGCTGCAGATCCCAGGGAGTCAGCACAGAAGGGCCCTCTGATGCTCCCTGGGAGCCCCGGATGCTGTGGGCCTCATGCGGGGGGTGGATTCTCTGAGGCTGGACCTCCCACTCCTCTCCTCACCCTCTGACCCATACCTGGTCTGCTGCTGCCGCAAGGTGTCAGAAGGTGTATTAGGAAGCAGCAAAGAGCTTGAGTCCTCACTTTAGTTGACAGGGCCTGGCTTTGCCTTCAAACCTCACCCTGTGGGGTGAGAGGTGCAGGGCATGGAGGCCAGGTCTGCTCCACGGTTCAGGCTCCTTTGCCTAGGCTCCCAGGAGGTGGTTCTGCTGGGTTCTTTCCTCCAAGCACTGTGCATTTCTTCAGGGGTACTGGAAAGCTGGTGTGGCCTAGTGAGGCAATGAGTACCTGCTCCATCCTGGCCACGAGGGGAAGGGGGCAGCCCTAGAGAGGTGGAACGGGGTCCCCTTCATTCACAAGCCAAGACTCTCAGGGTGGGCCCTTACAATTGGTTCTGAGTTCTCAGAAAGTCAGTGGCATGGAACATTCCTGAAGGCCGTGGAATGTGTCTGATGCAGACTGGAGCCCAGGGAAGTGGGGAACAGGCTCATTGAGCAGCAGCCCCAGGATTTGTGGTGGCAGAAGCTCCTTGGCACTGCAACCTTCTCTCTGGGTCACGTCACTGGTCTATAACTCACTTGCCAACACCTGTCAGCTTCCTTCCCCAAAGACCCTGAGCCTGTGTTCAGAGTTTCTGCCACGGAAGTGAGGCCTGGGGAGTAGACCTGAGAGGAGGGGACGGCTTTTCAGGCACCCTGTACCCTCTCTCTGCCCGCTGCTGGGTGCTGCCTGGTCTGCGGTCTCTGGGAGCACAGCAGTCTGGCCTGGGCCCTGTCTCTTGTCCTCCTCCTTTCTCCTACTACCTTCGTTACTTTTCTCCTGCACTTACTTTCGGGTTTGATTTGGAGAATCTCACTGTCTCTCTGGGCTTGTGTATTTCCCCCCACAAGCTTCTTTTCTTTCCTGGCTTCTTTCTTCTGTCCCTGCCAGCCTCCACGTTTTGCACCCTTGTGCCCAGCATGGTTCTATTGTTTCCTGCCATAAAGGCTTCTTTTCAGTTTTTATTCTCCTTCCAAAGCTCTCCTTCCGCCTGGAGATGGACCCCAAATAAAGGGGCCATTGGCAACATCACTGAAGGAAGCCCCTGCCTGTGTTATGGCCATGACTTTGGTTGTTTCTGTGCTGAGCAGTTTCAGCAAACAGGGCCACCACAGGTCAGAGTCCAGTCCCGGTTTTCAGTATGCCATGAAGGAGTTTGGGGTTTTGCTTATATCACTGTAAATCCCTAGCACAGGAATCGAAGAGATAAATGTCCATGGGGGGATGCCAAGGAAACCCCTTTCTAAGCGGGCATGTGGCCTTCTGATAGAACATTTGGTGGTAGAGGCCTAGAGCATGCAGATTTCCCCTGAGACACCTTGGAGTTGGGGGTTCTTCTAAACTCAGAAGGTGCTAATTCTGTGCTAATTCTAGCCACATGGTTCACAGGTAAGGCTCAGTTGAAGAAGCATACCCAGAATGATTGAACCCAGATGTGGCAGGGCACAAAACCAACTTCAGTCGACTTTTGGGCCACGCTCGGAGGGTACTCAGGGCTTACTCCTGGATCTGTGCTTAGGGATCACTCCTGGTGGGGCTTAGTGGACCATATACAGTGTCAAGGGTTGAATCTGAGTAGGCTGCATACAAGGGAAACAAATGCCTTCCTTACCCATCTCTCTAGCCCATTTGATGATATTTTTATATTTACCAGACAAGCTTTCCTTGTTTTGGGGGGGGCACACCAAACAATGCACAGGGTTAAATTAATCCTGTCTTTGCACTCAGGAATTACTCCTGGTGGTGCTCAGGGAACCATATGGGATGCTGGGAATCGAACCCGGGTCAGCCGTGTGCAAGGCAAATGCCTTACCCGCTGTACTATCACTCCAGCCTCCAGAAAAACTCCTCAAGAAACAATATACACCTGAGTGTAGGAAGAACTCTGATTTTTGTTTTCATTTCATTTTCTCTGTCTCATTCTCTTTATGAAAAAAAAAAAGTTGGTTGGGAGCCACCGAGAAAACTGAATGAGCCACTGATGCGTTGTGAGGAACACTGGAAAAATGATAGTTTCTAATGTACTTGCTGCCCGCTGTGTGTGGAGACCCGGGCAGTACAGATTCTGACTTAGGAGTGCTCCATTAAGACCAGGATACTAGAGCACCCTGGAGTAAGACACTGGCTAGAAGTGATGGGGAGCTGTTGGCATGTGCTTAGATGGGCACGGTCTTCATCTCAAAGCCTGTTTGACTGTTGCACTGTTTTAACATTGATGGTGAGTGAATGGGAACCGCAATCCAGGCTGGTATTCACTGAGCATCAGTTCCGCCCGAGGCACCGTGTCAAGCAGTAAAATAAATCACTCAGCCCAGCTTCCTGCTGTCAGCGGCTCCCATTTCTGCACACTCCTTCTCCATCCTGGTGTTTGGGCTTCCTTCACTGACTCATTCATTTGATCACAGACAGTGATCTGCTCTGACCCGCCTGGCTTGTGATAAGACTGAAAAAGTTACCAGGCCCTCCTCTCACCCAGCCCTGAACCTTCTCTTTTGAGGCTGACTGTAATCTCTCCAGATCTTCAAAGAATAAAGGTTTTCAGAGATCTCAGTCACGGAGTTCAGCAACCCTTTAGTTTATTACCTTCTTCAACTATTAGAATCCAGCATACTGGGCATAGACTAGACTTCTTTATTCTTTGTTTGCTTATGGGTCACACCTGGTGGTGCTAAGGACTTATTCTGCACTCAGGGGTCGCTCCTGAAGAGCTTGAGGACCCTATGGGGTGCCTGGAATAGAATGTGATTTGGCCTCCTGCAAGGCAAGCACTTTCCCTGCTGTACTATCTCTCCTGCCCAATTTCTTTACATTTTCAAACTGAAGATATTCACTGAAAACATTTGGCAGACTTTTATATGCAAATGACATTGCAGAACACTGTATTTTTTCTCCAAAGTAGAATACTATTCAACACGAATAGCAAAGTGATAGTTTGTTCCCTCCAAATTTGACTACAGATCTAAATTCTCTTTATTAATGCAAAGTTCTTTTGTCATTTTGGCTCTGGGACACTGTTACCAAAACTTGTGGAAAATATCAAGTTCCAAAAACATGGAGGCAACAAGTACACACTGGCATGCAATTGAGTGTTTGGTATATAGGGAAATGACCAGGAAAATGTTAGATGAAAATATTAGGTGATGATTTATACCAATCTTTCCCCCATAAAACATGCTCAAAGTATAAAATTTATTCCTTAGTGGTATCCATGGGGATTTAGCATTTGATAATTGTATATTAGAGATAAAGGATATACCAACAAACACTGCATAAAAGGTCTTATCTTTTACTTAAAATGTTGGTTTTATTATGCAATAATTAAGGCATAAAATATTTTAAGATTTCATGATAAAAATCTATGACTATATTAATAAATATGCCACATAAGCAATATTTCATTTATAACTAAATGTTTGTAAACATTAAATTTTGGATTATTTCACTCAAGGTACTTTGTTACTAGGTAGGTTGGCAAAAACAGCTCTCAAATTTTCCTGATGTAAAAGAGTTAATTCTTAGATATGATTTTTTGGTCCACATTTTTTCTTTTTTAAATTTGTAAAATTCTCTTTGGCTTGTAATGTATTGACAATGTCAGTGAATACTGAAAACTCATGTATCTTATCAGAGATTATGATTACATGTCAAAGATCAAAGATAACATGGTATCAACATTTACAAGTAAGTACAGAAGATATTACAATTATGTACACTGATTTGGGGAGGATTCTAGCTTCTGGCCTGTTCATCATATTTGCTTTAATCACATCAGAGATAATACCCAAATATTGAACGACATTTATAAAATTTCTCAGCAGTCTAAAATAGTGTATCTTGGGGCTGGAGCGATAGCACAGCGGGTAGGGCATTTTCCTTGCATGCAGCCAACCCGGGTTTGATTTCCAGCATCTCATATGGTCCCCTGAGCACCGCCAGGAG